AGTCTGACCTGTCACCCAGGACCTGTTTGCCTTGGGAGACCCTACCAGGGACATATAGCCCCCGACAACATAGCTCCTAGGATCAATCGGGTGCTCAAACCCCTCCACCCAAATAAGGGGGAAACTAAAATAGTTCAAAGATGTTAAAATGCTCAACAGAGCTGAGAAGTCCTGTGATAAGCTACGGGTTTGTGACTGATTGTTCCCTGACTGAACACTACTTTGCATTTAGCAAAATTTTTCATTATTTAAAAGCTAAATTTTTTAAGAAAAAAATGGCGAACTTTAGATAAAACTCAACAACATATAGCTGAAAATGTTATTTGCAGCACACAAACATTAGCTATTTATTTTGAAAAAAATGGTTTGAGTTACTTTTTATCTCTGTGCATCATTTCCTCTTTTCATCACCTGATATGCAACACATTGTGGCTGCACAGCGAAGGCACAAAATTTGAGTGAAAATCAGTTTGCCTCAGCTTTTAAAAATTTTTTTTTTTTTTTTTTGTGAAACCTGGTACAAATCAATGAAAAATGGCAGTACATTCTCACATACTGCACACAAAAGCAGACCTTGTTCATGTAAATGATGGCACATGTTCTACACTTCTGCCCTGAGCTTTGGTTTCATTGTGGTAGTCATTATCTGACTATCATGCCTGCTGGCACAGCCTCAACAGGGGGGGCTATGACCATGTATTGTCCCATTGTCCCTGCTCATCTAAACCATCACACACACACAGACGCGGATCCGAAGCACAGAGCCACTCCTACCTATATACCACTTGTTCCTATCATAAGATAGGAATTCGGTTTGTGACCTTAGAAAATGCAGGTGGGCGTCAGGAAACCGAGGCTGTGAGGAAGAGATGGGATGAAACGTTCAAGCAGCCACCAGCAGCCCACGCCTGAATACCTCTTATATCTGCAACACACACACATACTAGCTGCTGTCTGCCACACATAAACAGCTTGTATTCTATGTGTTTGGGTGTGTAGTGGTGATGGTTGGCAGGGCAAACATGGGCTCTGTCCCCTCAAGGCAGAGAGAAAAAAATGACTTATTTAACACACTGAGAGAACACCTGACATTAAATCTGTGTGAGACAGAGCCAGACAGAAACACAGTGGTGAACAGAGAGAGGGAGACAAAAATCCTGGCTGAGAGGAATAAAGGAGGTGCAAAGGGAGGTAGAGAGGTAAGGGGGAGAAGGAGAGAAGAGGTACAGATAAAGAAAGAGGAGAGGAGAGGGGCTTGTGTGGCTCCCTGTTGGCTGGCCCCAAGGAGAGCTCTGGGGCTGACTGAGATATGAAAGGTCTTCTTGCCCCTAATGACTGTGCTGCCTGGTAATGCTGTGAGTCACACGTCAATGTGTGGAAGATAAGAACACTGCAAGGTCCTCTCAGTTCGCTCTCTGGGCTTAGACACATGTGAATGAATGTGCATGTGTGTGAATATGCATGTACATGCAAGCACATCCAGTCACTTCTAGGTTTATAAAAACAATATGGGTATTTTTAAGTTG